TTTTTCGTAAACTATCTTCCTTGGTGCTCATCCAATCAGTTGGAGTTCTAAGAAGCAAAAGACAGTCGCCCGGTCTACAACTGAAGCTGAATACCGTGCCATTGCCGCTACCACTGCAGAACTCAATTGGATCACGAATCTTCTCCAGGAACTCAACATCGATTCCACTCCTACAATATATTGTGATAATATTGGAGCTACCTATCTGTGCGCTAATCCGGTATTCCACTCCCGCATGAAACATATTGCTATTGACTTCCACTTTGTACGTGATCAAGTTGTCCGCCGTCAACTCCGTGTTTCTCATGTTCATACGGTTGATCAATTGGCCGATTCACTTACGAAGCCTCTAGCTCGTAAGTTGTTTGCATTACATCAGTCCAAGATTGGCCTCCTTGATAGGAGCACCATCTTGCGGGGGCATGATAAGTAGATGAGATTTCCCTAACTGTTGAGGAAATCTCTCTACTCTGTTGAGGGAAATCCTCTAACCCGTTGAGGAAACTTCTCCTTCTAACCTGTATATAAAGACGGAGGATATGTCAATAACATTCAACTTCTTATTCAACAACTCATTTATCTCTTTATTTTAACAATCTCCTCCTTCGAAACTCTATCATTAAAAAGATGATGATATTGAGTCAACAAATTATCCAACCCATACTCGTATCATTAAAAAGATATCACTATCATAATACTTTTTAGGCTCACAATAAATTTACTCAATTAACTCATATCTAGCCATATGACTGACATCAAATACTTATCTTAGAAGTCCAACTATGTCATATCCACAAGCAACTTCAGTTTTTATTTGTCCAGTATTTATTGATCTTTATGGTTGATCTTCACAACTTACTGAACGCCAATAACTAGTCAAATATTCGGTAGAGTAAAGTAAACCATATTTCTTCCAAAGAATTTTGTTAGGAGGAACACAAAGATCAAAACCAGTGAGTCAAATAATTTTTTTGCTAAATTTATCTCAAACTATAAAGTATATGAATCACAGAGCAAACATTGATGCTGGTATAAGATTATAAGAAGGTTCCTTTGTGATCGACGTGATCAAGGTTTGAGTTGTGATAAGTCTGAAGCTAATGATGATTTGCTTCAATTCTGAGATCTTTAGTACCTTTCGGAAGATACTTTTGGCTGCTGAAAGAACCTTTATATTAACTTCTGCCTTCCCTTCCTGGTGATGAATGACACAGCTCACCGGACTAGGAACTGCAGCACTGAGAAAGCAAGCCAAGGCAGTGGTTTAAGTGTTGCTGTAAGCAGTGTCGTCCTGGTGATGAATGGCACGCCTCTGTATTCAACATCTCCGGACAAAGGACCGCAGGAGGAAATAAAGCCAATGGAGCAGTCGGTGATGCCGCAAGCACCGTCTTTAACTATTGGAGAAGGATTGGACATGCAGTAAGTACTCTGTCCACGCTCTCATTCGTCGTCTATAGCAAAGTCAGGCTGTCATCTACATCGACATCAATTGCAAGATGTGACAGATACCCTCTTAAAGTCGTCAAACTTATCGCTTTAGAAGCCGTGTTTGTCCCAGTCATTTAGACTTAAAAGACTTTGAGAGATCCTTTTCTTCTCTCTATAGGAAAATATTTAAGAAGACTAATTTGAAACCACAAGCAACGTGAGGCTCATGTGAAGCAGCATTTTCAATTAATCTCGAAGAACTCCGTGAATCACGAAGTAGCTGGAAAGAAGTGACAGCAAATTACACATTATCAGTCAAATCCTTGGTTAATTTGCTTCGGTTTCTAGCACTCATTGGGACAAGGAGTACTATATATCAGACATATCTGCTGCTATCTTGTCGGACAATCTCCAGCGGACAGATTTGAAGAAACTAAGAGTTCGAACTGTGTCTCGAACACAGTGATCCTGCAGCAGCAAAGAATATCAAAGTCCGAGAGTTGACACGAGTGTTCCTCAGATGCACGCATCTACGTAATAATAATGATGCAGTCTGTAATGCATTCAGAATATTACTCGTATTTAGTCTTTGCCACGTTCTTTCATTTATCTAAAGAGAGACAGTAAACATATATCCATGCTTCATCACCCAACTAGTGTCGATCGAGCATCCACAGATGCAAGGTACCTCGCAGTCCTTGCAAAAATTTGCCACCGTCTTGTCCCAGTTCGAGATCAGTAGCTTTCCATTGTCGCTTTCCGGCTCGAACCCAAGTAAGCCATGCTTTTCCTGTGAGCTGTGAGGTTCACCGCTTCCGTTCTCGTCTTCCATCTCGGATGTCTTAGCATGAGGAAGATGACTTATTAAGCAACCCATTCTCTGTTAATGCGGGCACCAGCTCGGTCAATGCATAGAACCAACGGGCATCGGCAAAACCGTCTCCTTTCACGTCACCGCCAGGACTCGTACAGGATCCCTTAAATGTTGATCATTTGACTGACTCACAATCATCCGACTTAACGCAACAAAAGTTCATGAAATCGAGGTTTCCGACTCTTGAAATTGACAGGAGAATCAAAATCCCTCGAACGAAGCTTCAGTTTTAGTTCTGATGATATTTCATTTTCAGCGACAAAAGTAATCCTGTTTTTATGTGTTAAAATGAGGACCGATTTGAACTGCTCTTTCTACGTAAAAATTAATGATAGCTTTGCTGATCATAGTAGTTGATACGATATGTTTTGGAAGTCCAGACACATCATCATTGACATCACACGTCAAGTTAGAATCGTACCGAGAAGTTACCCTACTTGTCCCGTCCTGAGAGCTTAAACAATGTCGTCTGACGTTGCTCCTCACGTCTCGTCTTTTTAGGATCAACGATCACGCACTATTGACCCCCGTATAATAATATAAAACCTTTGATCGACCTTCGACCAAGGAGGAGACAAAAAAAAAATAATCCACCACACTGATTTACACGTTGGTGGGATCACAATCGAAGATCACCCGACAGATATTAGTTTTACAGACAAACGACCATCCACAAACGACGAACGTCTCAACTCAAAAATCATCATCCAACACACGAAGGAGGATAATCAATCGACCCAAATCCCGACCAACGCCAACCATCACACCTTCTCGAGAAGACATGATCATCTCACGAGAACACCTTTTTCAGGACGTGACCACCTCACAAGGACGAACTGTCAACCACCCCAAAGACGAAAAAACGTAACTCAACATACACGACGCTCGAATCTGACACAACAAGGAACACGGATCAACATCCCATCGCGAGGGCTCGATTGACCTCGACGTCCACTCAATCCAACAGAAGACTCATCAGCCACAATATATTTGTTTGATAACAGTAGTCTCATGGAAACCATGCATATAGATATGTTTTACCATCGTAAAGATAAGAGACTTCTGCTGCCCAACAAAAGTGACAAAAACACAAACACCTACGTAACATGCCATCAGTAAAAAAAAAAAAAAAACTACCATACTGTCACGTACTACAGGTGGGACCGACCACAACAATTCTACAGATACTTTTCTCCAGCGGGGTGGCCAGTACCTGTACCGGGATAAGTCGGGTCGGCGCCGACGGGACGGTGGTGGTGCTGACTGGTAAGGGGAACACGACCGGTGCCGCCGCGGTGGGCAGCAGACTCCTCTTGGTGCTCGGCCTTCTCCTCGTGGTACTCCGCCTTGGCCGCCTTCTCCCTCGCCTTGGCTCTTTCGTCCGCCGCTTCCCTCTCCTCCGGTGTCCGAGCAGTTGCCGCCTCTGCCTTTCCCTCGGCCTTGCCGGAGTACTCCTTCACCTTCTCCTTGGTCGCGCTAGCCATGTCCTTCACCTTCTCCTTCGCAGCATGCATCGTGCCTCGACCAACTTTACCCTGCGCAGTGGAAGCCGGAGACAACAAGAGACCGTGAGATCTGGTTTCACGTCAACATTGGACCTCATATGGAAACCTGGAGAGTCTGCTACTTCATGAACAAGGTGACACCTACAATTCCACGTGTAGCACATGCAGATACACTTTACGTCTACAATTTGCACGTTTGCATGGTGCAGTACATTACGTTTATCCCATCATCTGCACACGTCTCCCTGGACAATTGCTCGACCTTTTCTGACGATGTCAAGATGGACAAATCCTTCAGCTTTCGTGACAGACAAGTTTCGAATGCATTTCGATTACCTCGTGACTTAGTTGGATCATAACTTATGTGTCCCATAGAGTGGCCCTCTGTAATAGTCATGTTATATGGCCCATAATAATAACAGCCCATATAACCACTCATTGTGCAACGAAGCCACCCTTTTCTCTCTCATGAAAAAAAATAAATCCAATCAATGTCGCAAAGCAGAACACATCGGACGGTCATTCGCAAAGCACGAACCCATCGGACGGTCCCAAACACGCATCAGATGTTATTTTCACTGACAGAGCGTCCCATCAAATAAATAAGACGGCGTTCGTTATACAAAGATGGTTGCGGGAGGAGGAGGACATGCTGCACTGCTGCGGCAGCAAAAGGTTCGCCAGGGAGATGGCCTTCGCCTGTCGCTTCGCCGACGTCCACCACGCCCTCCGAGTCGCCCGCGACATCTGGTTCAACAAGGTCGCCGCTTGCCTCCTCCGTAGTTCCTCTTCCCATCGTTCTCTCGATTCCGTTGATGACCTCATCTCGCCTTCCTTTCCCTTAAATCTCGTAGGTCGACGTCGCAGGATGGCTCGAGGCCGTCTCGGCTCACCTGGCGATCGGAGCCACATCTCCGCCTTCTCCCAGTTCGGACAAATTTTCCTATTATTTCAACATTTTCTTATTCTGGCTGAAGCCGCCGTCGCTGATTCGATTGTTGATTGTACTAGGTGGAGCAAGGAAGAGCAATCCGCTGCGATGGCTACTGCCACCGATTCCATCTTGCAGGTGATCCTTCGATGCGTTACTGGTCGTTTCGCCAAAATTTTGTCTGGATTCGCTTAAGAACGTGAAACAATTGTTGATTTCTTATTTGCTTTCGCAAATTGTTGATGGAGTGGAATGCTCGGTACAGGGAGAAATTTGGGTTTGTGTTTCCTATATGCACGTCTGGGAGGGGCACGTAACAGATTCTTTCTGAATTAAAGGTTTCATTTCTTCTTGAGGGAAAAAAAAACAGTTTGGTTTATGGTTTCCGTTGTGACTCGGGTAAAATTGGATTAGTTTCCAGTTGTTCTTGACAAAGAATAGTATTGATGATGTTAATGTCAAGTGCTTCTTAAACTATCTTTTCAGTGGAATCTTGTTAGAGCGTACCATGGGATAGGACTACCCAGTGATGTCTGTCTGCTATCTCAGCCAAGAGGCTCTTTCCCCTTGTGCTGTGTGTTCCTGTGGTTGTATGTGTATGCAAGGATGGATTCTTGATCTCAAATTCGAGTTCACCTGAATAATATTGAAAAAAAAAAATAAAGTTTCTTTAAATTTTGGAAATATTTCAAATAAACTTTCTCTATAGTCCCCAAAAAAAGATACCTTAAGCCTTGAACTGGGAGACGTACAAGAAGGAAGAGGGATCAATGAGAATTGAGTACCTCAATGCAGACAATGATAACCAGAAAGATGCCAACTTAGCTGTTCATGAGTGTTATTTGACATAAAAACACTTGAAGATCCTCGCACTAGATAAAGATGGTTCAGGGAGCTTGAGAAAGGAGACAGATTGATGATTACAAACCATTGTCTGAAGAAATTTTCATAGAAGATTCAAGGAGAACATCATTTTGAGGTTCAAGCTTTCAGTTTTTCTTCCTATGGCAATATTGACAAACCTTTGTGAATTACAAGTTGAAAAAGTGAAATTAGGAAATTATTTGGGAACTTATGCTAGGGAAAGCTATGCCCATTCTTCTTTGGCCAGTTTATGAATTTTTCATCAGAAGGATCTATTTCCTATACTATTGGCTTGTGGTCTATATCTGGTACTTTTCTAAAGTAAACTACTTTCTTTTGCTTATGATGTGATATTTCCATATTTCTTCTTTAACTAACCCATGGACAAGTTCCAAGGATCTTTAGTGGTTACAGGTAGTAATACATATTTCGTTTCTCGCTATAACTAGTTTGATTGTTAGTATGTTCATAGAGCTAACAACTATGCTTGAAAGAAATCTGATCATATTTATCAGTAGGCATTGAAATTAGCTAAGCTTCACTTTTTCTGAGTTCTTTTTTCCAAGCCTTTTTAAGTGAATGTGTTCCTTTTGCACATGCTTTGATTGAAGGTGTTCCACATTCACTTGCTTTGCAGTTAAGAAAAGGAGTCTTAGTCTGGTGGAATCTTTTAGATTATCTATATGTAAGTGTGTAATCTGTTTGATGTTTGGTTTGTTGGTTTTTGTTCAGTCCATTTGACATGATTATATATTAGTTATTACTCCGAGTCTACCATCTTAGCATCTACTATTGTTCATACAACCTGTTCTCCTAGTTCTTCAAAAGCCCTAATTACGTAGGCTACTTATGTTGTGATGTTAGTGTTTGAACCATGGTATGCAATTTCGAATGGTACCACCTGGTACGGGCGGTATGTATCGGTCCGACGGCATACCGGTACACGGACCGTCCACTATCGGACGGACCATGCTACAGTAATACACTGCTACACTGCTATAGTGCTACAATAAGAGGAAATCGCTCGGTAAGCCCTGGTATACTGTTCGGTACGCCCTGGTGTACCGCTCGGTATACCGGTACCGTACTGTACCGAGCCAACCTCGAAACACCAGTACGGTATGGTATTGCATACCTTGGTTTGAACATTTGTCCTCATTGTAGAAACTAATCACTATTGATGTACCTAGCCTTACTCCAACATGAGCAGATTGACACATATTACATTTGATTTATGAGCTTATTGTCTATTGCATTTATTGATTTTCTATTTTCAGCTGTTCTTACATTCTTCTTTGGCAATTTCTAGATTGTACTTGTTAGCCTATTGTATCTACCTTGGTATAGAAACGTGACCTAAATAGGCCTATTGTCTAACTTGAAATAGCTGTTCAAGAGGGAATGAAAATAATTGAATTACGTCTTGGTAGGCTTTCCAAATCTGATGCTGTATCAAACACTTCAGTCACAACTTATTGTCATGTTAGTTCTTCAACCAAACCAGAAGGTAGTGACTGCTTTTTCTCTTTTACGTGTCAAGCAAGGAAAAGCACTTTTCATTTCTCTCTGTTACAAAGCTAATCATTTTCCAATCACTGTTACATGTATAACAATGTCTGTAGAAGGTATTTGATAATAAAGAAATCACAGTTGGAAAGTGATAAATTAAAATGAGAAACAAGCCTGTCAATTGAGAGATTGTATCAGTGGCGATTTCTGTACATATTGTTACAAAAACAATAATGGTTAAGATGAGACAAGGAAATCTATTTTTTAGAGGGGAATACATAACATTGTTAAACTGCAAATTTCTGTGGTTAATCTTGTTCGTTAGTAGAGTCATAGAACCTGCCTAAGAAAACAAAATGTAAGATACTCATGTAGAAAATTATGTTTGAACCCGGATTATTACAATATCTTCTCAAGTTGCCTATAACCAATAGGAGTAATCTAGACGAGAAAATAGGATGAATATTTTGGTCAGTGTGGTCGAGCATCTTTTTTATTGTGGCTTCTGGGGAAACAGTATTTGACATATTTAATCACATCCACATGCAGGTTAAGTGGTCTGTTCTCCCTTTTGTGATGTTAATTGTTCTTCCTAATATTTGATGGGTTTTAACCTTCTTTTTGATTTATGTATGAACTATTCTTTTTATGGTATGCAGTTTGTCCGACCTCTTGATTCACATAAAACTTGGTCTACAAGTGGTAGTCCCTTCTGCTTGTGATCCAAAATTTATTCAGACTTGAAAGAACATCCTCTTAAGTTTGTTCTTCGTACTCTGCATTTTATTGTTTCCTATTAAATGAGGTGGTTCAAAAGCTTTGTTTCATCAATAAGGGTTGTTGTGGCACTTCTGTAATGTTGACATGGTTATTTTCTCTGTTAATGTCATAAATGATTTTGTTGATAGAGTCATTTTCTATGTCAATTTCGGATGCTAGTCATACCCATTGATATGAGTAATTTATTTCACAAGATTGATATCCTTCTAGACTCGTAACTACTTCATGCAACCTCATGCTGCCTTCGATGTTTCCTATAACTAATGTGGATTGCCCTGGTTCGATGTTCTGAGTCTGATTGATTCCAAATTTATTCTACCTCGAGCTATTCTATTCTAGTTAATCTATGAATATCATTATTTCCTTGGTTGCTTCAGTGTACTGATTTGGTCAATGAAGCAACTTCTTTTGCAATGGAAGGTACTTGATTCATTTTTATTATTATTTTTGTTGATGATGTTTAAGTGTAAACTGGGCCAGTGCAGCGTAAATCACATGTTTTCCATGAATTTTTGCGAGTCAATTAATCTATCTAGCATATATTCAAAGATTTTTGCTGTTTCATCATGACATCTCACTTTATGAATCTTTAAAGATCGTTTGAGAATCATTGGAGCACATCTCATGGCTATTCCCAAGGTATCTTCCACTCAAACCCCTGAAATTTCAGGTAGCAGCCCTCGCACCCGTCCTCCCTCCTGGATGTTGCCCGTGCCTCTCCAGCCTCTGGCATGGAGGTTCACCTTTGAGATGTGGAAGGGAGCTCAGCGTCACCCGTTGTTTACAAACAGAGAATTCACTGACTGGGTGTTGGCAAGCTCTTCAGTACAAGCACCATCGATGGCTGCAGTGGCCCTCTGATGTGCATAGTTTACTACATCACTCCTAGCTTTTACGGAATAAATTTCAACACCGGTAAATATGCACCCTTTGGCTTCTTTCCCTATGTTAGCGTCGTGTTTGAGGTAGACAGAACCAGATAGCAGTATATCAGTTACTGGAATAATAGAAGCATGTACGCCAAGGTTTTATACTATTTCAATAGGGTCCTAAGATGTGGTCGTGCTGTCCTTGACATGTATTATCGATCATACTTATCTGTGTCTCCTCCTCCTCCAGCTTTATTTCCATTATCATCTTTGCTTTCACAAGATGTCTTAATATCATCAGTCAGCTTGTTGCCTGTATGATCTACAATGGTATGGGTCCGGGTTTTATGATCCGTCAATTTAATATCACCTCTAAGATAATAGTTTTGATCGAGGGGCTATGTTTTTATTGTAATAAATACAACTTAAAAAGAAAAAAATATAACAAAAAAAATAATCTACATTTGATCTGAATTTAAAGTACCTAGAATAGAAAACTAAAGCAAGGAGTTCTTGAACGATAATTATTCGAAAGTTCTTGTGTGATAAGCGAGGATAGATTGAACACTTGCTACTTGTTCTTCTTTTTTTTTTCTCTCATTAATTTGACAGTACCTTTGTTAGGGGTTGCGAAAGGCGTTGATTCTGTCCTAGTTGCTGCTATGTCTTTGGATGTTGGAGAAGGACTTCTTGTTTGCTGATCTCCACTATTGTTGGAGAAGGGCTATTGAGGCTTTCTTCCTCTTCTCTTTTCTCTTTTGCTGCTTTTGGCTAGGAAAATGTCCTAGGTTGGTTGGAAGGCTAGATAGACGAAAGAAGCTGTTGTCTTGTGATGATGAATGTTCTGTTTGCATATTCTTTTTCTCTTCTCTTTCTCTTATTCTCTCCTCTCTTCTCAACCTAGGATTGATTGGAGACTCAAGAGGGCACAAATTGGGATTATTTTAAGAGGGCTATAACCTGCTAGATTTATAAGATCAAGAGATTCCAAAATCCTAATCTGATTATGACTTCTCCTTACTTGCAACTGCACGAGTCTTTTATTGGGGGCTGCCCTAATCATAGTCCTACTAGGATTGGGATTAAGCTGACTTAGGGATGTTTTAGATGGGATTTTCCTCCGTCTTTTATAATTGAGGTAGGGGTGGAGTCCTAGCTATGTTAGGACTTGGAGAGTTCTAATACATTTAGGACTTAGAAGTTGACTTGAATCTAGTCTTTGAGCTTGCATTCTAGCTTGACCTTGATTTGGTATGATCAAGATCAAATTGGAGTCCGATTGAAATTCCAATTGGGTCGAATTGGAGTTTGTCGAATTATGCTAGATTGTCCTTGATTGCAGCTCCCCCAATTAGGGGGTCAACATCTTGTTGAATTTTTCTTTGAGGTTTCTTCTCTCTCCATCTGTATGCTAGAGGCTTTGCTTTGGTTCATCGATGTGGTTAGTGTCGCCATGCTCAACTATGCCATATGCATGCACCTTTTTGATTGAGTTCTCCTTATTGCTAATCACCGTTGACTCTAGGGCTTTCTTTCTCTTCTCAGGGCTTCAAGCTTGATGTTACCCCTTCTGGTTGCTCCTCCTCTTTCATCATGTTGGAGGAAGGTTTTGGTTCTTTGCATGTTGAAATGAGAGTCATTAGCTTTCAGCAAGCATTCATCATCCTCTTTGCTTGGCTAATAGATGTCAAGTCTTTCGTTGAACCAATCAGATCTAGGGTGATGAGGAACTTTCTTTGGGGTCGACAAAAGTAAATAACATCTCGATCCCATAAGTAGAGGCCCCTAATGATGACTTGGCATATGTCAAGCAGAACTACCTCACACATCACATCGTCGATGTATTCTTTTGTGATGGCAAAGCGTATCTTGCATTATTAGTCGATCTTCATCTTCACATAATCATGAAGTCATCCAAGAGGATATCGACATGGATGTAGTGTAGTCTCTAAGCCAAGCTTCTTGACCAAGCTCGTCGAGATGAAATTCTTTTGGCACCCGACGTCGAAAATTACGCGAACGACTTCTTGCTTCACTTGGATGTTTATGGTGAAAAGCTTTTCTCAAACCTTTAGACTAGAGGTTGAATTCAAGTCTATAACCTTCAATCTAGTCGTCAGCGTTAAGATGGATCTGTGTAAGGAACTGGTGAAAGTTTGGTGGAGTCATTGTTCGTGGTCAAGGTCGTAGTTCACCGACTTTGATTATTCTTCAATGGCTTTTTGAGAAGAGTTCCAAGTGAACCTTCCAACACTTTTCTCTAGAGTGACTTAATTTTACAATGTTCACAAAAAAGATTACTTCGTTTTGAGAAAGAAGTTTTATCATCCCCGAATTTCTCTTGGGCTTTTGTGTGATTCCCTTTGGCCTTTTACGTGGGCTTCTCACTGTAAGTATGATTCATTCTCTCAATCATTATCGTTATATTGCTAGTAGTCAAAATATCATATGTTTTAAAGAGGCTTAACTTTGTATGAATCTATTCATGGAGGTCGGTGGTATATTTTATCATCGTTGAGTGATCATTAAGGGAGATTGCGAGCATTACTGCTTGTCATCGGAATTCAATATTATATTCTTGCGTGAATTAGTCCTGTTTTTGGCATAAGTAATGTCACTTCCTCCATATTCGAGATACCCTATATGGGAGAATTTTTCTCGTATGAGACTTTTGGATCATGTCCATGACACGTCTTCATCACTGTTGATTCGAATATACTTTCCACCATACAAGTGAATGATTAGTCAATTTGAGTTATGTAAGAATCACCTTATCTTTGTTGTTGTAATCATATAAATCAAAGTAAGTTTCAAGTTAATATATTCATGAGTCTAATACCTCAACGTTGATCGAGCCATCATAGGAGGGTATGTTGATGCAAGCCTCGACTTAAAAGGGTCGAGTTCTTGTTGCGGTGTTTTGCTCAGCAACATCTTCTTTGTAGCTACACATCTCGGATGGAGATGACTCTCTTTCTTTTGTTGTGATGTTTTTTGTTCAATTGTCCTTTGCTATTGGGTTGACTTGAGCTTGCATCCAACCTATCATGATTTCCATCCATTAGGCTAATATTGTCGTCTGGGTAGTAAGGTCAGCCAAGGTTGTCTAGGTGTTGGCTACCATCCCGTCGGTGGTTCTTCCTTTCAATGAGTATGACACGAATTTCAACTCCTGTAACTCTTCTCTAGAGGCTTTGTATCCTTACCTTGTGGTTACCATTCACAGGCGAGGGTTCATTGTTTTGGTACCACCTGATCTATTTAAAAGTTTGGATTCAATGATTTGTCGATCTGATACTACCACTTGGATGGAAGTTTTAATGTAGTAGTTATGTTTTTACTGTAATAAACACAACTTAAAAAGAAAAAATAATATACTATTGCCGTGAATTTAAAATGCCTAAATAGGAAACTAAAGCAAAAAGTTCTCAAGTGATGATTGCTCGGAAGTTCTTGCAAGATAAGCATGAACAAATTATGATGGAACTCTTGTTCCCTGTTCTCTTTTTCTTTCCTCCTCTCACCAATCTGATATCACCTCTATTAGGGGCTATGGAAGGGGTTGATTATATCGTAGTTATTGCTACATCTTTGGATGTTGAAAACGAAAACCAAGACAAAGCTGCTGGTTCTACTATGGTTCTTTGCTGCAAAAATACTATTGCAAGTTGTAAGAAGAGGACTTTCTGCTTGCTGATCTCTGTTGCTGAGGCATTCTTCCTCTTCTCCTCTTCTTTTTTTGCTATTGCTCTCAGCTAGGAAACTGTCCTGGGATGGTTGGAAGATTAGATAGATGGAAGAAGGGCGTTATTGTTGTCATGTGACGGTGGAAGTTTTGTTTGCAAGTTTTTCTCTTTTATTTCTCTTCTTCTCAGCTTAGGGCCAGTTGGGCACTCGAGAGGGTAGGAATTGAGATGCTTATAATGGGGTTGCGACCCCTTAGATTTATAGGGTTGAGGGAGCTCAAAGCTCTAATCAAATTAGGACTTCTCCTTGATTCTTTGCGATCGCAACAGTTTTTTATTAGGGCTGCCCTAGTTGACTAGGGGTTACCTTAATCTTAGTCCTAGTAAGATTGGGATTGAGCTGACTTAAGGATGCTTAAGATGGGGCTCTCCTCTCTCTTTTAGAGTTGAGATTGGAGTGAAGTCCTAGTCATGTTAGGACATAAAGAGTCATAATGCAATTAAGATGTGGAGAGTTCTAATCAAGGTCTGTCATACCGAAGCGTACCGCCCGTTCCGGGCGGTACGTACCGGTCCGACAGGTTATCGGTACGTGGACCGCCCGGTACCGCTACAGTGCTACAGTATTAATACTGTAGCACTGCTACAGTATGAAAAAGTATAAAATTATTCGGTACATCAGGGTGTACCGCTCGGTATGCCCTGATGTACCACCTGATACACCGGTACCGTACCATATCGAGCCCGGGTCGAAACGTCGGTATAGTACGGTACGACGAACCTTAGTTCTAATACATCTAAGATTTAGAGTTGACTTGAATATAATCTTTTAGCTTAGATTTCAGTTTAACCTTGCATAATCCATCATCACTCTACATAATTTTCTTTTTATTTTGTTTCACTTAAAGACCCTGTGATCAGTTTAGCTACTAGTATGATTGGTTTCCCTTCACTTGATTCTTTGATCTACAAGATGTTGCAGGTGGATCATGAGAATATTGTAGAAGCTTCGAGCCTTTCACCAGTGCAAAAATTGGATGGTTGTGTAATGATACTCTCAGGTGCCAAGGCTAGCGTAAGGTAACATTCCACCCTAAAGATTGTCATACATATCACTGTGCAACAGGTCCACAGACCGAGCAATGTGTTGACTTGGGGAACTATCCCCACATTACTGGTGAAAAGCCTGGTTGATTTCTATTCTTCAATTTGATGTGAGGTGAACGAATAGACACCCTAAAGATGTAATGGTCAATTGTAATTGTCACTTACGGTTTATAACTTTGCGTGGTTTACCAAAATCAATGGATGTGAACATGTTGATGTCAGTGTGGAGAAAAAATTAGGACTGTTCTTAAACATATTGTGGCCTTATCAGCTATTATTCTCTTGTTATAATAGGTTTTCTTCTATCATGTACCATGACAAAATGGATATGAATTGGGTCTTCTTGACGGTAATTCAAGGATGAACAGTAATTTACTTCATGGTTTTAGTATCTGCGGTAATCTTGGCTCTTCTTAGTAGGAAAAAAAGAAAAAGTATTTTTCAAAGCCAAGAAAGGAATATTTAATATTTTCGCTGTTTTGTTTTCTTTTGCGTGATCCCTCTCTCTCTCTCTCTCTCTCTCTCTCTCTCTCTCTCTCATGTTGTAAAGCAAAATTTGGCCTCCATCACGGCTTGAAACACTTGTGATTTGTAATTGGAACGAATGTGATTCTTGATGGAGGTCTTTGCAAGAAAAGAAATGTTATCTTGTGATTGTGTTGATCACTACGAATACAGCCCTTTTGTATTTGATGTAACGCTGACATCCAGACAAAGGAGTCCCTTGATTTATTTTCTTTTTCCATTTGGGATGTAAAAAAGTATTTCTTTTAATATTTTTAATATGATCCATAGTCAAAATAAAGATGAGATGGAGAGGTCACATTATTAGGTGCCCTAAATATAATATATTAACCAAACAAAGTAATCATTTGTTGTCCGACTCCTTTTATTCCCCTTGCAATTTAATAATGATGCTAAAGAAGAAGTCCATATCTTCTCGAGTAACACAAACTCATTCGAACAAGAAGATATGTTCTATAGGCTTGTACAACTATTTTCTTGAGTTCTAAAAAGACAGACACAAAAGTTTGGTCGATGACAGAGATCCGACACCACTCACAGAATCTTTATTTTCAGTTAAAATAAAAAATTCCTTTGCTGAAAAACAAAGAAAACACACACAGCCATGGCTGAGCTGCTCATTACAAAACATCACTGTCTGCACCAAATGAGTGAAAGATGCCAAAGCTTCTCTGCAGACTCAATGGACCACTAAGCTCCCAAGCAATGTAACAACGTGGTGTCATGTAGAAGCTACCAGCGAGCTGAAGAGAATTCCGGAGGCTTGGAATGCACACACCTCACAGGTAGCATTTGCATCTGTACAAAAGACAATGATAGGAGAAACACCATCAAAGGCTGATGCCAAATGTATGTGAAGAACATTGTAGTTGTTCTTTCTAAATGAATGACCATGCCAAGGACCAAAAACATGACATCGCAGTTCGATCTTACAGACAAGTGAGTGTCTTCGAACCCAGAAAAAAGAAGATCAAGCTTACAGTAGAACAAAACCAATGTACAAGGACCAGAAGGAATCATGGGGGGTTCCTGTTTTTTAATGGATGCCATGCCTGCCTTTTCATTCTTCCTCCGAGGTCGTACATAATGAGCACAGCCAAAACCAGAATCCTCTTGGCCTTCTTGCCTGTTCAACATTCGCCGTCCTCCCTGAAACCAAATCGGCCATGTACTGAACCACAGCCTGCCATGCGAATCGGATTTGTCATCAGCATCAAATGATTATTCAAACGATGGATAGAAACTAACATCCAAATTTTAGGTATACCTGAGCTCCCAGCTTAACCACATGCCTTGGTGGTACTTCCAGTGGAGTCTCATCCGCATTGAACACTCTAAGCTTTGACAGTAGTCTGAAAGAATCAGGCAGTGTCCTTATCTGGTTGCTGCTTATGTCCAGCTCTTCTAGCATCTCTAGATTTCCAATTGATCGGGGTAATGCCGTCAAATCTGCAAAGTTCCTTCCGACATCTAACTTCACTAGACTAGTGGCAAAACAAAGGCTCTCGGGTATCGACTCAAGCTCGTTGAAGCTGACATCGAGTTCTTTCAGTTTAGAAAGTGAAGCCATAGTGGTCGGTAAGGATTTGACTCTATTATAATGCAATATAAGGATTTCCAAGCATTCAAGCTTTCCAACTGCTTCAGGCAGTGCTTTTAAATGATTAAAGTCCAGTCTGAGCTCAACGAGCGCAGTACATGACCCGATAGTGTAAGGAAGCTCTTCCAGTTCATTTGTCTCAACATTCAAGCTTCTCAAGTTTGTTAGGTTTCCTATTGTCTCTGGGAGCACAGACAGCTGGTTCGAACTCAGATCAAGATTGGCTAGACTCGTAAGATTCCCAAATGTCGAAGGCAGTGATTTTAGTCGATTTGCATGCAAATCGAGATCAACCAAATTGGATAGTTCTCCAAATGAGTCAGGTAAGTTTATCAGCTGGTTTGAGTGGATATCAAGCTTTTTTAAGGACCTCAGGCTTCCAATAGATGTTGGAAGTGCCATGATTCGATTCTCCGATAAATTCAGTTCAACAACATCTTGCAGTTTTCCGAGTGAGTTTGGAAGCCACTCAATTTGGTCCATCAACTTGCCCTGGAGATCAAGAATTCCAATTCCTTTCTTTGCTGAAGTCTCGATTAAGCTTGCCACTTGGATGAGACTTAACTTTTTTGTGTCACCATTAGCTACAGGCAGAGTAGGGAAGGATGAGCATAGGACCATGGGGATATCATCGGCTTTAAATATAACAACATAAGCAATATTATTTTCTCAGCCTTTATCTACTTTTAAGTATGGCAAGGCAAACCAAGAATTATGAATATGCCGCGTGAAGAAAAAAAAATATTTTGCATCACATCAAACATCATTGAGAGTCGAGGCTTGAAAAAGAAAATATTCTCGAGAGATACACATCATTCTAAAGACAAATTCTTGAAGCTTTTATCAACCTTTATTTTCTTGCAGTGCATCATGAATAAGAATGTTATGTTTGCTCTGACAAAATGAGGAGAACCGAAAATAGCAACTCAGTAAGATAACCTTTATGTTCTCATCAACAAGGAAACTATCATACTACTAATGTTAGAGGTCAAACCCAGTGATAATTATATGGTTGATATTGTAGGAGAAGGATTGGGCCAATGAAACTAAACCAATATGAATAATTGATTGCAAAAAATATGATAACCAAAAAGGAAAAGAAACCTGAACCTTTGTATTGTTACCATATTTTGACCCTCTGTGCCTAATTCTCCTAAAAAATCAAGTAACCCAGTGGAGCAACAAGTAGAAAAGGAAGAATGATCTGACCTGAAGGGACTTGAGACTTTGAGGAGGAATGAACAAGCACATGGGAAACATCTTGTTCCCCCTTCTCATCAGTCTCCTCCTTGACCAAACTCAAACTCCTACCAATTCTAGGCACCTCCACGTTAAAATCAGCCTTGAATTCCTTCTCCTCACAGACTCCTCCACCTTCCTCTGATGAGACCAGCTCGGAAGCCCTCTGTATGAGCTCGTCAAACACCTGGAACCTCTTATCCAGCTCCACCACAGTCATGGCCTCCCTCCTCTGCTCCTGGCCCTGCAACAGGATCAAGTTGTTCCTCACCTCCTGCAGCACAAGGAAGAGCTCCTCTGGAACATCCGGGGGCTTCTGGATCTTGCCAATTTCCGCAATCCTCGCCTCCTCTTCACTGTCTGCAGTTCTGATCACAGCCATGGCTGCCTCCACTTCCTCTATGGAAGGTCTTGGTGGCAGGGACCTGTAGATCCTCATGATCTCCTCCACAGCCTCAACCACACCAGGAGGCCTTGGCTTTGATGGCGTCCCCATTGCTTCCGAATTCATCTGCTCTATCTCTCTCTCTCAGAACTCAGAAAGACAAAGAGAGAAAGAGAGACTCGTGTGGCCCAATGGTGAGTCGATGGGTTTTTAAATGTGGGTTGAATGAGAAGGAGATGGTTTTGTTATCATCTTCGTTCGAGGTGTTGTGTTCTTGCTTGGCTGCAAGAAGGATCCAACCCATGGGCCATTTGGCCTTGTCGATTGCATGAATCTTTGTTTATTTTAATGTGTTGGAGGGAGTCTTCAAAAAAATAAACATAAAAATAAAAATAAAATCCATGAATCGAATTTCTACAACAGAATTAACGAAATTAATATTATTTAAGTTTTTTAATTACTTATTCAGAATTAACGAAATTAATAGGTTGGTTATCCTCTATATATATATATATATATATATATATATATATATATATATATATATATATATATATATATATATATATATATATGATAAATATTTCAGATAAATGTTTGAGTTATGTGTAAAGTGCATGGATTCAGTATTTCAGTTTTTTTTACATCTCATCACCGGCTGTTTTTCCTTGATTTCCTAAAATAAGAATCCCATATTAGGATTGTGCCTTATTAGATTTATTCATTTCCTTAAATGACCAACCTGATTAAGGAAAACTCAACAATGATTGATTTTTATTTCATTGATAATAAAAAATACATATTAGGAATGAAATTAATTGATTAATTACGTAATTAATTCAAAAATTATTGATAAATTAATTCTCTTACTGCGGCATCTCTGTTTGATTTTATCTCGTCAATGATCCGTTTTTCTCTTATAATTTCATTCATATTTACTTTCATTTGTATTCTGTACAAGCTTTAATGATCATAATAATTAAATGAGAAATGATACCTTTTATTGACTCATACTCCTCATCGATTATGATTTGTGACAGTACGTTTTCCCTCGAATTTTCCTTCTTGCTTGATTCTTATAAAAGAAAAACTATATAGATATTTATTTACTATGTTTCTTTAGTTCGGATTTATGATGGCTGCTTTGATTTATAAGAAATTTACTCTTATTTCGCCTTTTCGCTTCGCTTACAGGTAGAAGCATTCACACCCAATCTAACCAAGACAAGCGATCGTGTAAGTTGATGGATGATGAGATAGACAACATATGTCATTTAATGAGAATAATATCCCTTTTGAATTTACAACATATGTCATTTTAATTAATAAAATTAAAATTTTAAAAATTTGAATGAGATGATCAAAGAAAAAATTAAAGATATCTAAAGAAGAAATATAACCTTTCACATTCCCATTAAAATCAAACATTTTATGATAAGGCAAAGAAGCCAAATGTTAAACAATCAACTAAAAGAGCATAGCATGAAATGATCTAATAAGTTTTATGTTGTTAAAAAATATCTATAAGGCTTATTTCTTCTGTAGCTAGTAGGTTATTATTGAATTTTAGATTTTGATGAATAAATATATTATTAAAATAAGTAATGTATGAAGTACTTAAACTATGAAATTAAATTATCTAATAGTGAGCCAAAGAGTCGAAAGTTATATCAAAAATTTATTATATCAAAAATTAGACATTAGACGAAAGGATTGATTGACGTATCAAAGATGAAATTTTTTGAGTTAGTGGTTCGAGCTTCATGTCGGAAGGATCGGATATCATATTAAAATATCAAATATTATTATAAATCAATATGTTGAAGGATCAGATGATATCTCAAAAAATAGGATGATTTGTTAGACGTTTGAACAAAATATTAGAAAATTGAAAATATAGAATTGGTGACATATACACCTCCTTTATTGATGCTGTCGGTAGATTAAATGTATTTGATAAAAGTTACATTAGAAAGAAGTAGTTGATGCTGTCAGTAGATTAAATGTATTTGATAAAAGTTATATTAGAAAAAAAGTAGTTTATAAAGAGAAGTTCAAAATAATATAAGATAAATCAAATGAGATGGAGGTGGAAGAGCAAATCAATAAAATAATAAATAATATTATTTCTTAATAACTTTAAACAATAAGGTATTTGAGTCTTGTGAAATATCTTTATCTCATGAAGAATTACTTGAAGCATTGCATGAATTATATAATAAATAAAAAAATTAATAAACATATAATTCATTAAAAAGGATCATGTATTATTTACTAATGAGTTTGATACATTGAAAAATATGCATGATAAACATATGTCAATATTTTATACTTTTTACACTAAATGTGAAAATTTAGAATTATTTTATCTTAAACTTAAAAATGAGCTATTTCAAAAATCTCTACAATTGTATGATTTTAGAAAATATAAAAAAATTAGAAACTCTTAAAAATAATATTGGTTAAAGGAATCAATTGATAGCAATGATATAATTGAAATTCCTAAATGGAAAATTATATATTTTTTTTACAAACATTAGAAAAATTAAAAGTTAAAAATAAGTCATTTGATATTATTATCGATAAATAAGATAGTATTTTTGGAAAAGAAGATATTTGATTCATTAATAGTAGCATTCATTATAAGTCAATCAAATTTTTAAAAGGATCTTCATCTTATATTCATACATTCTATAACTTTTGTGAAAAATTATCCATTATGCTTATTCATGCTCCCTCAAGTAGAGTGGTCATCTTAAATTAGTTTAGATTTCTAATGAAATCATAAATTATTCAAAAGATAAAAAAGAAATAGATCTAACCGGATCCAAAGTTAAATGAATGCTTAAATTAACCCTCTCTTTTTTATATGTATATTTTCAAACAAGACCTAAGAGCAAAATATAATATCTTAATAATGAATGCTCAATACATATTATCGAAGATTCTACAAGCTTCTTAAAGTTTACTAGCTAAGATAGTTGATATGTTATATTCAAATATAGTAATAAAAAATCATTGACATCAAAAATATTAGTAACGAATCAAGTCTTTTGATTGAAAATGTACTTTTGATAATTAGTTTGAAACATAATTTAATAAGTATTAGTCAATTTTATGACAAAGGATATAATGTTAAATTTAAACCTCATGCTTATGTTATAGAAATGCTAAATAAGAATAAATTCTTAACTGTTTTAAGAAGTGATAATATTTATACTATTTATCTTGATGACTTTCATGATGTGACTTATTTTTCAGCTTTGAATGATTATGTATAACTTTTGTATAAGAGACTAGGACACATTAGCATGAAATTGATTTCTTAAATTGGAACTAAAAAAATTGTAAGAGAAATACTTAAAATAAAATTTGTTAGCGATAAGATTTGTAATGCATATCAATTAGGAAAACATATAAATAATAGTTTTAAACCTAAAAACTAAGTATCTCTAGACCATTACTATTTTATATGAACTAATTAAGACCCATTGATATCATAAGTTTAGGAGGTAATAAATATATATATATTTTATTGTTGATGACTATAGTAGATATATTTGGACATACTTCTTGTTATATAAAAATAATTATTTTATTTTTTAAATCAAATTTTATAAATAATTTAAAATA